TAAAAAAGACTGTACCCGGTTGACCCAAAAAATTGTTATACTGTTGTCCACAGCCAGAAGAAGTATGATGCGGGTACAGTGGTTGCTGACCGGACTGCTGGTGCTGCTGTCCATATGTGTGAGGTGGTTGACCATGGGTGGATGAAGCCTGGGCGTGAACCTGCTGCTGTGGCTGATGACGTCCACAGCCACGCCCGCGACCACGTCCTCGACGACCTCCGCGTCTTCCCGATGGGACTATTGCTGCCCGACAACATTAACAACGACCTAAACTCCTCCTGCCGAGGTGTTGGCCGAGAATGCAGGGGCACCTACCGAAGTTTCAAGAGTTTGTTGGTATTGCAACCGAGCCTCTTGATGAACCAGCTTGGTACACAATTTGTCAAAAGTAAGTCCTCCAGGAAAGAGCGTAAGCGGACCAACAAAAGATTCATAACCTGGTCCCAATCCATAAAGGGTATGTTGTAGAAGATCAGAATCAGAAACCGGTGAATTAATTGAATTTAAATTGTCCGCAATAGTCTGAATGGTACGAACATAGTCCTTCATGGACTGATTGGCCTTCTTTCTTGTGTGTGACAATTGGTGTTTTAACTCCATGGAACGAGCAAGACTGGTTGCCATAAACCGGGATTCCAACTTTTGCCAGATTGCAGCAGAATTCTTAAGAGTGTGAACTTCAATCAAAACTTCGCGGGAGAGCGTAGCAAACAACCAGGCACAAATGGTTTGATCAAATTTTAACCAATGATAATATTCAGGATTTATGGAAGGAGCCTCATATAGATCATAGGTATGTAGGGGCGGAGCCGGTAGAGAACCATCAAGAATCCCTAAAACACCATTCGCTACCAGAAAGGACTCAAATTGAGTACGCCAGGGTAAATAATCTTCCACCTTTAGTAATTTTGTAGTAACAATTTGGCTAATTGCTGATCCCAGAGTCATACCTTGCGCCAAAGCAGAAAAAGAAACTGAAATAGCAGTATCAGTTTGTCGCCTACCTATAGGTTCTGCCGTAGGAGGTATGAGCAGACCTGGATGACCGGAGAATGTGGACCCACCGAAACGCGCACGGCCAGCAGCGGCGTTGCTGGATTCAGCCTGAAAGTCGAGATTGAAGAGAGGTGGTGGCCGGATTGTAGGCTGCGTCGGTGTCCACGTAAAGATGGGCGGTACCCAATGTGTTTCCAGCGGCGAGTCCTTGGCTTAATGATGAGAGATGTCGGACTGCAGCGGCGCTGTTAGGGATTCACCATGCGAAGCTGCGCTCAAAACCGGCACATCAACCGCCGATGGTGGAGTAGCGGCGGTGCTGGGAGCGGTGAAGGTATCGACGACGGAAGCAGTAGGAGAAGACATTGGAAAAAAATTAGAAACCCAGGGCTTTTGATACCATGTGAAAATAATGGAAAGGCATCCCGAATGTGGTAACCTAGATGTCATATATATAATAATAAGAGTTCTGAGTACATTAGGAAACAAATAAATATGGAAACCTAATTAAAGTATTAATTACACTATTAACCATAGTCCGTGCATAGATCCTCCCCTGCTCTGCCCTCTGACAGTCTGGTTGATGCTGAAGGGTCTAGAAAGCTTTGCATGGTTGAGTTATTGAGTGTTATGACAATGTATCTTATATAAGTTGCATTTACTTCTTTGACATGTTTTAAGAGAACTCTGATAAAATTTCTATGAGTTATTGATATGACTACTCTGTGTAAATTCAATTCCTCATTTTTTAAAGTTGAATCCTGTAAGTATCCAAATATATGTAGGATGTCTTTCGGAAAATAAAAAAAAAATTAATTAATATGACTAAAGAAAAACAAGAAATGAGATGGAGCAGAATTTAGCCAAAGCTCGTGCTACGCACGATGTCCTTAAAATGTATTTGTTGCCTCCCACGGTGCTAGGAGCGTTGCAACAATAGTTCCCAGGATACGATTACTATGAACTAATGTTTGAGTACTGGAGGTGTTTTTAGAGCTGAGAAATACGTGAGTTCGTTTGTGAATATGTGTCTTCGTTGTAAACCACCTGCCAACCATTATATAGGAGGATTTGTTGTATGTAAATGGTGAATTAATGAACCTGAACGTTAGACATCAATGACCAGTCCGTTGGGCATTGAATCGTCCATGAACTGTCCATTTAACGCTGCATTAAAAGATAAGAACGTTGAACATTTAATGGTGTAACGGTTCAGAACGCGACAAGACAGAAGGCCAGAACGCCTTCTGTTGCAACGAACAGAAGACCAACGCCTTCTGTTGCCGCAGCGGGCAGAAGACCCGACGTCTTCTATTTCTGGACAGAAGACCAACGCCTTCTGTTCTGGAGCGATCTGTTCGAGCACTTTTGTCAACTGGGAAAAATAAGGGCATGTTTACTAACAGAGATATTTTCCGGTTTTTTACTTCTGTTTTTTGTTCTCCAATTTTCTGTTTTTATTTTTCAGTTTTTCTATCTCCAATTTTCTGTTTCTATTTTTTAGTTTTCCATTTTCAAATATGAAAACATGTTCATCAATTTTTCACCCAGTTCTCCAATTCCACACTCTTGACCCCTACCCCTACCCTTACCACGATCTTACACTCTACCCATACTCCCCCACAACCCTTCATACCCACCCATACCTACTCGTAGGTGTCGAGGTAGTGGGTAGGGGTGGGGTAAGGGGTATGGTCGCGGTGGGGTGGTAAGGTCTAGGGGTAGGGGGTTAGGTGGGGGTAGTGGGTTGGTTAGGGTCGTGGTTAGGGGTAATGGTGGGGTAGGTTGGGGTAGTGGGTAGGGTTGGGGTAAGGTAGGGGTAGGAGTTGGGATAGGATGGCGGTAGGGTGGGGCCGGGACCAGGGTGGGACCGAGGCAGGGAAGGGGTAGGGTGGGGGGTAGGATGGCGGTGGGGGTAGGGGTAGGGTATGGAGTTGGGATAGGATGGCGGTAGGGTGGGCCCGGGATCCAGTGGGGCCGAGGTAGGGGTAGGGTAGGTTGGGGGTAGGATGGCGGAAGGGTGGGGGTAGGATGGCGGTGGGGTGGGGCCTAGGTAGGGGGCATGTGGTAAGGGGTAAGGTGGGGGTGGGGGTAGGGTAGGGTGGATCGCGGTGGGGCCGAGGTAGGGGCATGTGGTAGGAGGTGGGGTAGGGTCATTATAGGGAAAATGGGTACATGGGGTGGGGTTGGGTGGATAGGGTAGGGTAGGGGTAAGGGGTGAGGTACGAGCTGAGGATAGAGGTACCGGAATGGAATCGACATCGGAGCAGGACCGGACCCACCACTAGGTGTAAGTATGCAAATTCATTGCAGCGACACTGTAGCATCTGCGTTTTCCAAATTTGGAAAACTAGTAAAAGTCACTTCTCCAAATCATTAAGGAAAAGAGAGACATGTCTCATTTTTTTCGTTTTGGAAAACGATTTGGTAAACGCGTTTTTCTTTTTTCCTTTCTCTAGTTTTCCAGCAATTTCTTTGGTAAACTCATTTCCTGTTTTTCTGTTTTCCAGAAAAATAACTCTGTTAGTAAACAGGCCCTAAACGTTTCGGGAAGAAAACAAAATTAAATCGTATCTCTTGAAAGATAGATTTTTGGATGACATTCGTGTCCGCAGGTCGCCCGCGCTCGCAAGTTGCAGTTTTCCTTCTCCGATTTCGGGATTTGATTTGCACCCCCTGCGCGCGTGGAGAGAGCCTTTACCTTAAGGAATCTTAACTCCTTCAGGGGGTTTTCCCTTTATAAAGGGTTGCAAATCCCATGGGTTTTCTGGCGTGGGAAAGAACACACTAGAAACTCATCCTTTTTCCCAGTTTTCCCATTCTAACGGGTAAACTTAGAGAATCAATTTCTCATTCACCTGTTATCCATTTTGAGCGTACCACATATCAAATTGTAGCTCTTAACAAGGACAATCCGAAATCACTTTGATCTGACTCAAATTAGAAGTGGACCCCACTCAAAAAATTGCACCAAAATTACCATTTAATGCAATTTTAACACATTTTTCCAACAATATAATACAAGTATGGTTGGAATTGGTTTTTCCATCTCTGTATTATTATTCTTGTTATGTTCTAAGTTTTGGTGGTAATATCTTAGGGACAAAATGGAAGTCATTCTAAATCAAGATCTGTTTCATCACCTTTACCTAACAAATGTGATTGGGAGGTTACATTGATCCTTCTTGAGTTGGACTTCTCAAACTTTGTTATTATTGGGAAGGGGGAAATATGCTTGTTTGAGCTATAAAGCTAATCAATACCAAGTACATATCCCTAACTTTGAGAAGGTTTGATGCATCAAAACATTTCGTTATATACAAATTATCCGCATTACACCTCGTGCATGGGTTAGAAATACACTTGTATTGTACGAGTATAACTTATCACGCAATAACATATTGAAGCAATTAGACGAAGGATTTTAATCCATAAGAAATTAGACATCCTGAAAACGCAAATCAGATTACATTTTTCTAATGAAGAAATGTGTCCTAAATATCACAGGTGCAAAAACGTCATTTAGAGGCGCTTTTTTTTTAACACGTGCGGCGCTTTATGGCGCCTCTAATGAATAGTGCCGCAACGTGTTTTTAGAGGCGCTTCTTTGCTCACAAGCGCCTCTAAATTTGAAAATCTGTGTGATGCGTGCGGCGCTTATTTGCTCACAAGCGCCTCTGAATTTGAAAATCTTTGTGCCGCGTGCGGCGCTTATTTGCTCAAAAGCGCCTCTGAACGTGAATTTAACGGATAGTTTTAGAGGCGCTTTATAGGTTGAAGCGCCTCTGAAATTTTATTTAATTAAAAGTATTTATAATAAAAATTTAGCTAGATTCCCTGTTCATAATACGTAAAAATACATAAAACTAACTCCATACAATCAAACATATCCGATAAAATAGTACCATATCATCTATAAAAAAAGCATAATGCACAATCAATTCGTATGTGTTTAATTAAACATCCAATCAATATTCATACATTACAAATTGTTTGGCTAAGTAGTTTTTTCCCAACTTTACAATACAACATCAAGAAAGTATCTTGACCATACATTTCTGATATCACTGAACTCTTCTAATGTGTATGGTTCACTTCTTGAACGCCATACCTGAAATGTAATGAAATGATCATAAATATATTTCAATTTAATTACAATACAATATATATATATATAATAAATAACTTCGCAAACTCACAATTTATTCATACCTTTCCAATATCATGATTTTCAGAGTATGATATTATTTCCCACATGAATCTCATGACATAATATCCACATTCAGTACTTCCGGTTTGTTGTGCAACCTGTATAGTTCACATCACATGTACAAGAAACAAAATTCTATTTCAAGATTACTTTCCTCTCATTAATTGTAGGATAGAAAGGATGGAACATACCTTCACACTATTCCATTTAATTGGCTTACCGCTACCTTTTTGTGCGGATGCAACCCTGTACATTCTACAAATTCAAACAAACATTATGTTTACATATATACATGTGTTTATATATTAATATGTAAATTAAGTTTATTCAAACAAATATATATATATATATATATATATATATATATATATATATATATAATACTAACGTGGTTAAGTCTCTTTGAATACTAATGCTAGAAGAACTCGACATGGAATCAAAAATATATCCCTTATCGACCATAGGGCAAATGACAAGCAGAATCCAATGATACCTATATTGTATAAAATAACACAATAAATCAACAACGTATCACAAGAAGTATTTCAATGAAGATATATTGTATATGTTTTACCCTTCATGGTATGGAAGAAAAATGAATGACTTTTCAAAGGACTTTATCAAAGCATGTTTCAAGTAAGTCATTGTGCCCTTCTTGTCCAGTTTATAATGTTCAAAACAGCACAGGTGAGGGCACAAAAAGCCAATGTCGTCACGGCCAAGCTCAACTAACTTTTCTTTTAAACAACTGCACATACATAAATACTATCACACATAGAGCACCTAAAAAACATTTACTTAATTTAAAAGTAAAATATATTGAATACTTACAGCAAGAAAGTCTGAATGATACAAATCTCAAGCGAGTCCCCCTCAAGAAATCGAGACAACTCATCACGATCAATTGTAGCCCCAAACGGAATATTTTCCTGAAAACAGAACACATCTGTAGAAAGATGGACAGAGAACTTACAATCTTCTTCTTCAAACCACTGCAATGCCTCGTGTAACTCCAAAACATCATCTGTAAGAGTATCAAGTATGCTCTCCCTGACTAACGGGCATATGGAAGGTGCAACCGTTACTTTTGGAGGATCTCTCTCAACAAATGGTGTTTGCTTCTTCTTCATCTCTTTTTTTTGTGTTGAAATTGTGGTTCCTAAAAAAATTCAACAACAAACACGATACACATATATAAATATATACATAAATTACACTTAATAAGGTAGTATAAGGTTACTACTAGTTAGTTACCTCCCCCTCAAAAATCACCAACCGAGCTGGCCACTGAACAAAGGAACCAACAGCATCCGCTATAACATACATATCAGCTGATTCATTTGGAAACAACAAGGGACACTGATCAAAACCTGGACATGGCATTGATATGTTCACTTTAATTGTTTTATCAGACATCGATACGTTATGAATCAAAGCACCAACTGGTGTGTTGTAAGCTACAGCTACGGCCACATAATCCAAGCTCATATCACCACTAACAGTTTGTGACTCAACAGCCAGCCTACAATTTGCACCATCCTGCATGAATTTCCACATGCAATTAAAGATTTACATTGAATAAAATACTTAATATCATATACTCCCTCCGTCCAAAAATTAATTTCTCATTCACGTAGTAAATTTATTTTATTCTTACTTACAATGAAAGATTTATGTGGAATATCAGCTGTGGAGTTCATTGTATCAACTTGACCTGACTCAGAAGCTTGCGTTGATCCCATGGTAGGTTGTTCACCTCTAGGAACAAAGTAGTGATGCATATCTTTCAACCATCTTTCTTGCAACTTTTTCAAATCGTCCTCACTCAAATTACCCACTTTATCGCGCCGTCCACCTCTACGCTCTGCTGCAAACACTCGAGTATAACCCACACCACCACCAATGCCACGTGCACGGCCAGGATAGTCAGGTTTCCCTACAACCTCAGTCAAAATATCATGTCGTCCAGTTGGCTTCCATGTCCCTGCAGCTATGTCATCTTGAATTTTGTCCTATTATATAGTTTATTTAAAGTGCATTAGCTTTAATTTAAGTGAATTTATAAAAGATATAAGAAATGTTTAACTTACCAATTTGATTTTTTTCTCTTTCATGCCATCAGTATTACCGGGAAAAGCTAAATGTCCATCAGATGTCAATCCCGACCTAGCACAGAACCAACTTACATGTCTTGGAATTTCTTCAGTTGTGGTTGTGCTAGACTTCGTTGAATCTACCTCCGATGTCGGAAGAAACTGGTCTAATAAGCTGGTAAATTTTTGAATTGGTTCACAATTGTTGGAAGTGGTTAGTTCTTGAATTGGTAAATTTTTGCAGCTGGTTTTTTGGTTCAGTTAGTAAGTGTTTCAGCTGGTTTTTTTTGTTTTATTTGGTAAACGATGTAGCAGATTTTCAATTGAATTGGTCCACAATTGTTGAAAGTGGTTAGTTCTTCAATTGGTAAACAACTAAATATACACAATAATGCCACAATACAATAATGCCACAATACAACAACTAAAAGGTATCATCATGCCTTGAATATAAAATAAAATAATTTCAGATTAAAATAATATAAAACTCCTACAAAAATAGAAAGTTATTACCAAATAAAACTGAAAATCAGAATATTTTAACCATAAAAAACTATAAATTGAAATTATTAACAACAGAGGATTAAAGATTAAAGATTACGTTGCTGACCTAGTTTAAGAGTCGGCCTACAACGATGTCCTTAGTGGCCGTAGAGCAGTGGCTAGGGCTGCAGAAGATGTCCAAATTGAGTGTCCACAGCGGCGGCAGAGCTGCGACTAGGACGTGAACTCGTGGGTCATCGGAACTCTCCGTCGCAACCCCTCGTCGCAGTAGACAGCCAGTAGTTCTTCAAAGGTCAGTCGCAGAGGGTCGAGGTCGCTTTATGGCGTGGGGTAGGAAGGCTCAACGTCGTCGCAACACAGCTCCGGAGAGGCAGGGGATACGGCTGCGGTGGTCTCTATCGGCGGCTGTTCATCGTTTTCGAAGCAAAGTCCCGCAGGGTAGAAGCTGCTGTAGCCTTCCAGTTTTTTGCCGCCTAAGGAATGAAAGGTGTCGATCGAGCTAGGTTAAAAATTTCAAATCGATTAGAGGCGTTTAATATTTAAAGCGCCGCACGCCGTCCGTAGTAATTTTTAAATTTTATGATTCGAGGCACTTCTTTTATTAGAAGCGCCGCACGCGTTCCGCAATTTTTTATTTTGTTTTTATTAGAGGCGCTTCTTTTGTTAGAAGCGCCGCACGCGGGACGAAATATAAAAAAATATATATATTACAGGCGTTTAGATGTCAAGAAGCGCCGCACGTGTCCGAAATTCGTTTTTTTACAACAAACGAGGCGCTTTCTGTTTAAAGCGCCTCAAATGAAGCGCCTCTAATTAATGTTTTTCCACTAGTGTATATTTATGTCGCTATATAACCCAGGAAGGATTGATATTTCATTTTATGACGGTTAGAATGGAATCTTGTGACTTCCTTAAAAGCATCTTAATCACTAAATGGACATCCAAAATGTTTGGAAGAATGTGCTTTACAGCAACCGAAGTATCTTGCCTATTGAACCCCTGTTTGTTTGCATACACAATAAAACATATACTATGATAAGATACAACTCTGGCAACTATCATGAAGAATAAAAAAATTACACATAATGTGTGTTTAATGCGTCAAAACCCTCATGATATACAAATTCTACGCATTAGTAACTCAAAAGATGCATCAAAGCTTTTCTTGTGTTAATACCCTATTAAAATCCTTCTCGTGTATTGTATAAACACTCTTTTGAATGTTTCAGAGTTGGTTTGAATAAATCAAAATAAGTAATAAATTTTAAACTAAACTTGATTTTCAGTGAACTCAACCGTAATGTTTGTTTTTGATACAATCATGGTTCAATTTCTTGGAGTTGTTACTGACAAAATACCTCTGATGTTGAATACTTAAGAGGGGTAATCAACTATATGTTTTCATTCTCTGTTGTATATAACATTTTAACATCCCCCAATCAATTTTTATATTTCTTATGTTAACTGAAGTATATATATACGTACTAGTTTTCAAACCCGTGCGATGCACGGGTAGTACGTAATACGAAGTATAATTTAGCTAATTTTAAATGTAATTTTTAAAAGTTGATTATGGAATAAATTTATATTAATAAATGGAGTTTTTCATTGACACTATAATCTAAGAACAATACTAAATTGATTTTTAAAACTTGATTCAGACTGTTTATTCAGCATACAAAATAAACAACTTCACACGTACATTTTAACCTACACAGTCGTCTTAATCCAAATAGTACTTGATAGAAAAGGAGTAAACAACCCTTCAATCTAATATAGAGCCCGTTTGATAACAATAAAATTGACCGAATTGACTGATTATGCTGAAATTGATTATGTTCTGTCTGAATTGTATGCATAATCATTTTTTAATTTTAATAGTAGAAAATTCAAATGCTTTTTCTCATTATTTTACTCATTATTTTTCACATTGAAAATGTTAAAAGTGTAGATTTTAAAATGTCAAAACTCTTTTCTCAATCGGACAATTTAAATTGTTGAAAGATACGAAGTCAAATTTATACTTCCTAAGATAGTATTAAATGTAGTTTTTTAAAAGTGAGAAATTTATATTTTTTCACACTAGTAAAAAAATACTTTTACTCTCAAGACGACTCTCTAAATTGTTTAAAGATATGAAGTCATATTTATAATTCCGCACTTCAATTGCTTCTCCTTTGACTTCTTTGATGACAGTGTTATGTAAGAATTGTAGCAAGATTTTATTATCGGATACAACACGATACTCTTCTTTATTTGGAACCACGGAGAATTTTTTATGATGTGTATCATTCCTTCCTTCATTTTGGGACGTAATGTATGAACATATCCACTTCGTATAGATGCATGAACATAATTACCCTACAACCATAAAAAATATCATTAGATTTTTGTGTAAAATAGGTGCATTTGGTTTCTAGCCTGCATTTGGAAATTAAAATTTACCTATATGTACGTTGCTTGTAATAAAAATAGAACGTTATAAAAAAAATAAAAGGTATAGAATCTAATTAAATAATTGTTATATTTGATGACATAGCAGAGTTATGTGGCACTCTGTATGCTCTTTAAAAGTTCCTCTTATATATATATATATATATATATATATATATATATATATATATTGATTGATTGGAACGGGGTGATGAGGTGATCTCATCAACAATCGAAGGAGAATGGCGCTCTTAGCCCATCCACTATTGTCAACTTTGCAAAGGACATAGCTAGGTAATTGTTATTCAATTAGTATTTTTGCATCCTATTTTTTAATGGGAAAATGGAAACTAATAATCCAACCTTTTAGCGATCTTCTTACAATAGTCCCACCTTTTTGTTATTCATGAATAATCCAACCTTTGCACCTCATCTTCATTCACTGGTCCCTGACCGGTTGATGACCTGTTATTCCAAGTTATTTTCTTATCTTTGCAAAATTTTATCCCTTTTTTAATTCCGAGCACAAATGCACAATGTTTGCAACTAGGGCTGGACTCGGGCCGGGCGGCCCGACCCGGGACCGAACCGGCCCGGTCACTGTTTGGCCCGGCCCGTGGCCCGGTGGGTCCACCGGTTCGGTTTGGCCCGGCCCGTGTGTTGGGCGGTCCGGGCTCGGGCCCAGGTTTTGGTGAACCGGCCCGGCCGGTTCGGGCCCAGTCTGGGCCGGATTTTAATTTTTTTTTTTTTTGAAATTTTTTTAAGTTTTAGGTTGGATTAGGTATTTTGGGGCATTTGAGGTGGTTTGAGATGATTTGGGGTTGAGGGGGAGGGGTAGGGGATTAAATAGGAGAACAAAAAAAAAAAAAATTGGGCCGGTTCGGCCCGGCCCGGCCCGGCCCGGTTTGGCCCGGAACCGGAACCGGCCACCGGCGGTTCGGGCTCGGGCCTCCCCTTTCCTGGCCCGAGGCCCGGCCGGGCCCAGGTCCGAACCGGGCCCGAACCGGCCGGGCCCAGGCCCGAACCGGGCCCGAACCGGCCGGGCCCAGGCCCGAACCGGGCCCGAACCGGCCCGAGTCCAGCCCTATTTGCAACATAATAATTGGGGTAGTTATGTGGGCACTGGGCAGTGGACAGGAATTTAGCTCCTCTCCAGTTACTGGAGTTCTCCATTAGGAGAGAGATAGAGTGAGATGGGAAAATGGTGGGGTAGGGAGAAAAAAAAGATGGGGTTTAATTATTTTTTTTAAGGAGAGAGATAGAGCGAAAAAGAAATGGAGAGAGTAAATGGAAAGAAGGAAATGGAGAGGAGTATGACTCGGTGGGCAGAGGCATGGCTTATCTTCACAATGAGCCTAATTTTATTATTCACAGAGATCTAAAAGCAAGACAAGTTATGTCTTTCCAATTTACATGAGTTGAGAGGTGATGCTGAAATTATCATTCCAATAACCAAAGGAAGGCATGGAGGAGCAACACAAAAAATATACGTAGTAGTTAATTTAATATTGAATAAAACATGTTTCTTTTCAGTGTATCGATCTACAGAAGCAACATAAAAATATATAGTTAATTTAATATTGAACAGATCATGTTTCCTTTCCATTCCGTGTATTGATTTAGTACATCAAACCGAGGCAGGATAAAAAAAGAAGACATCATATAAGCTTCTTCTTTTCGAAGAAGGTCTTCAAATACCATACTTGCAACCCAGCCACAGACAAAGCAACAAGAACCGACAAAAAGGACAGCAGATTCATTTTGGAGTGGGTTGATCTGTTTAGCTCCTGCATCTCTTCTTCTCTGCAAAGTACACAAATCCCTTATTTTCCTTTTATTGCCTTCATAAAAAGTTCTGCTAAGCCACGATACCAATGGACATCACAAGTTTTGATTAAGTTAGTTACCTTTCGCGAAGATAGAACATCTCATCATGGATGGATTGGACAGTTTCGTGCATTTTCTTTAGTTCTAATTCCATTGCCTATTACAAACAATAAGCGATGAGCAAACCATTAAAATATTAAGGCTCGTGCTCCTGAAAGAGCATGCAGAGCACCAAGTCACAACTACTTCAAAGAGATTAGAGATCAACTTAAACCATTTCATCTGGAAAAAATCCTGCACTACACATTTTCATTTATGCTAGCAACTGGGGCAGGGTAATAGACTAATAGCTCCTACAAATTTTGTTTCATTATATGTAAGCATTTTCAGCTTTTTTTCTTGTATACTATACTTGACTAAATTGAAAGTGTTAAACATTTCCATCTAATTCACAAGTTATGAATTCAGCTTATTTATTTCTTAATGCCCAAATCACAAGCAAGTAATTCTCTAATCCACAGTTGTGTATGAATGATTTAAATAGTTTTTAAAATAGAAAATATGAATTAGCGTGTGGATCTAACTACTATTTAGCCTATAATTAGTAAATTTTCACCATCTCTCCTACTTTTCTACACTATTCATTACCCCTACTATTTCACTCTTAAATAATGTGCCAACACCTATTGTAGCAAAAAAAAGGAGGGAGTATTATGAATGTAATGAGTATTACATATTATTATGTGGCATGTTTCAGAAGTTAATAGGATTTACTCTAATTCTATATTTTAAAATTATTTAATTTGCGGTCATGTGGTGCAAGTCTATTAGCAATTCCTCCCACTAGCAGTCCAGCATCGTGACAAAAAAGAGGAATAATTTGCAACTAAGAGAAAGAGGAGGTTTACTTCAACAGAGCCTTTCTTTACAACACTGGTCCAGTCTCTAGCAGCAATACCAGTCTTCCAATCAAAATCTACAGTAAGTGGGATGGGAGGCTTATGATCTTGGGCAGAAAAACAGGCCATGTAATCCCCCGCTTCTGCTGTCTGAAACGCAAACTGTCCTTCCCCCACATTGTCTGCCTGATGATAGGTATTCCCATATGATGATGTCACCTATTACCCACAAACCAAAAATCATTCAACAGGCATTCCCTCCAATTTTTTAATATTAGACATAATTTATTTGATCACTAATCCAATTTGACTAGTGTGTTCATCACTTTCATATTAAAAAAAAGAAAAAACAGGAGGTCAGGCATTTTAATAACAACAATATCAAACAAAACCAAGTTAAAGAAAAAGTGCAATAATACTTCACAGAACACCAGCTGACCCAAATCACAACACCAAAGAATATTCTCAGTTCAATAAATATTAAAAAAATAATATAAATGAAATTATTCAAGGAAAATAAAAACAAATCAGTTATAATCGGAGAGAATAACTCACCCGTAGGTTGATTTTGTGTGTATCGGGCAAAGGGTATCCGTCGTTAGGGTTAACTACATGGTACTTGCCGACAGTCATTGCGTTACTCTTCATATCTTCAGCTATGCATTTGGTGTGACCCGAATCAAGATCGAACCGAAGGGAGTGGATTCGGACCAAGAAGAGCCCTAAGGTTAGAACTAATGTGAAACCGTGAATTTTCAGATACATTTCTCGACCTTTTCTTCTAAGATTTGCCAAGCCTTTCAGTTAATGGTGGAGAGCAGAGAGAGGGAAGATGGTGAATGAACTCAGCTCCTGTACGTTTTGCTGAAAATTAGGATTCAGAGAAAACCGACACATGGTGGATCATTGTTAAAATCCAAAGCATACATTTTGTTTTTTTTATTTATACTTCAATGTTTCAACTCAAAGCATAAATTTTGTTTTTTGATGAGGAAGCGGTCCAACCCAGCTGGTCGCCGACTCACTCTCCCTTACGGGAGGTCTCGGGTTCGAAACTCAATGGAGTGAGTTTCAGCCCTGAGTAAAAAAAATAGATATTACTTATTGAGTTATTGCATTGTAGCCAACAACCACAATTTGTTTCCTAATATCTGTTTTGAGGCTTTAAAAAAGCCATAACAAGCTCCAGCAATAAACTAATGGGTTTTCATATATCATGTTCACATGAGCAATTCTCCAATTGATCACTCAACACCATAAAATGTCATTACTCGCCATTAACGATATTGTTAATAGTCATATTTATCTAGATCACCATTAACAATATTGTTTGTTCACATGAGCAATTCTCCAATTGATCACTCAACACCATAAAATGTCATTACTCGCCATTAACGATATTGTTAATAGTCATATTTATCTGGATCACCATTAACAATATTGTTAATAGTCATAAAATGCCATCAATAACATCATTCTTATTAGTTTTATATTCAAACAAGTATACTAGGCACAAGTATCCCGTAAGTCCTTATATGGCATCAGCTCATGCTCTCCACAAATTAAACTGAACTGTTCACTTTTCTCGCTAAAGTGAGAGAAAGCTATAGTCTGATAGCTGCGCAACAGAGAAAGTTAAATAATGATATAAATAACGTAAAGTGAGAGAAAGCTGCTGAACTAACCTAAAAGCTAGAGTCTGATAGCTGCGCAACAGGGAACAACTAAAGGGAAGTGGGGAACTCGTTTGAGATGATGAGGAGGAGTGTGACAATTGATGAGGATTATGGCATAATCATCAAACAAAATCAGATTGACATATTTTGAAAGACATGAAACTTTTTAAGAATGTTGTGTTTTTAAAAAATACTTTAAACTATTTTAACTTCAAATATTTTGGTTAGAATGTTGATATTCAACTTGTTTAACATGTTTCAGTGGTTGGGTGATAGAATTACAGTGTCTATAGTTCATGCTTTAGTTATTCTTTTGTCATGTGGCAAAGCCATAAATGCATCATCGCCATGGAAAAATGCCTTCGTGCCATGGATGTCGTCATATGCCATGACAACTATGTTTAGTTGTATATTTAAAATTTGTCTTTAATGTATAGCAATTAGCAATGCTTACATTCAAATTTGAACTTATACATGTATTAGACAATTAATTCAATTCATGGTTGATTTTTTTCACTAAGAAAGCTGAAGATTTAGAGGTAAAATATTTTGATAACAATCTTGCAGAAGGCATGTTTGAGAAATAGAATAAAAAATTAACATTGGAGACTATAGTTTAGGTGGGCTGAGTTTTTAAAGAAGATTACAACAAGATTTTAGTACTATTTCCACTGAGTGTTAGTTCATGTGTGTGTACAGTAACGAGAGTTAAATTAGTTAGATAGGTTTGCTCCCTCAGTCCCTCATTATAGAAAAATCATACTCTGTATATAGTATTTATGTAAGTATTTTTCAATAGTTATGGTAAAACAGTTAATTTAGTTGAAATGTATTTATAGTGAGAATATGATGTAACGAATAACAGTCTGATTTAATGTGATAAAAATTCAACAACTATGATATATTTGTCCGAGTGAGATGAGGATCCAAAACAATACATTTAGGGGGTTCAATACTGTCTTGATTTAAACGTTGAGTCATGTTAGTTAGTTAGTTACTATTGCTCTTAGTTGCAGGAAAACCAGTTTTAATAATAAGGAAAAATAGTTAGTTCACATATGTAACGTAAGAACGGAATGTTAAGGGATGACAATCTATTTGAGCATCGAGTTGAAGTAAAACACAATACAGGTACAGCACACTGATGGTTACCCAAAATGGTTGCTCATAGCAATTAAAAACGAATAAACAAAAAACTTTTAATCTAACGATTTTCATACAGATTAGGAAAAACAAGAAACATTTTTTTTTTAATTAAAAGTTAACTTAACGGCCATCAAGGTGTTCGTGAGTAAGAATCCTCGCTCGATATCATCAAAGAATAATGGAAATTGAAATCGGTACCAGACCTTTGGTTTTAGAATGGATTGGTATGAAATGTAAACATGCACTCAACGAATAAATTCATACGAAAACCTACCGATCCGGAGATTTCGCGACTGAACGGATGGAAGATCTTCGGTACTTTGCGTCTTTCGGTTTTAGATCGACGAACGTGATTCAATAGTGTATGAGATCTACTTATCTCATCAGCCATGAAGAGGCTGGCGGGGTATCCAGGCAGGTGGGCTGAGGTCTAGGTTGTTAACTTGTTATGTACTGGGTTGGGTTTGTTTATATGTTGGGTTATTTATTGGGCCATATTGTGGGTTAAAATGGACTCAACAAAATTATGCATATAAGGTTCATATTGGGACCAATTGAACCAGGCATAATATGGGCTATCCAGATTTATTTTAAGATTTAAGAAAAAACTAATATCAATAAATTCAGTACAAAATTTAATATTAAAATAAAAATATTGTAGTTAAAGTAAATACATTGTAATTAATGTAGTTTATTTCACATTGGTGTGTAGCTAAAAACGAGTGTTAATCCCATTTAGTCATGGACCCGGGCCGAATCAGTTCCGGTTCCGGGCCGGGCCCGGCCGGGTTTTTTTTTGGGAAGGAAGGCCCGGGACCGGCCCGGGTAGCCACCGGGTCCGGTCTGGGTCCGGGCCGGGCCTCCGGTTTGGTTATATATATATATATATATATTGCTTTCCTAAACCCCCCCTCCCCCTCACCCCCAAAACCCCTCCTAACCATCAAGCCCAACCCTGGTGGAACCCCAAAAATGAAAAAAAAAAATCAATTCGGCCTGGCCCGACCCGGCCGGTTCGCCAAATATAAAACCCGAGCCCGGACCCGCCCCCCCACCGGGCCTAGGCCCGACCCGGACCCAGACCCAAGAACCGGGCCGGTTTCGGGTCGGGCGGCCCGAACCGGGTCCAAGCCTAATCCCATTGGTGTAAAAATTTCTTAGGTGAAAATTTATAAATTTATATTTGGTTGAATTTGAAATGAGTTGCCTGAAATATTGAATTCCTTTTTTATGAATTGAAAATAAGTATCCATTCTTATAAGATTAAAAAATACACATAATTTTTTTTAAATGTATGACGATCAACAAGATTCAAAGACAAGCTCTTCCCCACGTCGATTTATTATTGACAAATTTTATTTTTTCTCCCACAATCAATTATACATTCTAATGTCACGAGTTACTAAACGTGAAGAACTCAAAATCTCTACAATTATATAAGCATGAATAATGTTAGGGATATAATGGTCATAGAAAAAATGTTGGTGTCACTTTATGCATTAAACAATTGTACTCCGTGCTTACTTCACCGCTCAGTTGCTAGGAAAGGAGTGAAGGAACCCTTCCGTTTACGCACGATGGTATTCTCCCCCGTTAGTTTGACATCTAAGAGATTCATTCTATACTCTAAAGTCCATCCATTTTCTCCAGGTCACCTCCGTTAATATCACCTCTCAGACCATCCAATATTTCCCCAGTCCCTTAAGCTCACTATGGATACGATAAGGCAGATGGTCTTGATTCTGCAGCGACCGGTCGATGGAAAGAAACACCGCGCAGCCTTCTGCGTCATTTGCGACTCCTAGGTATGGCAAATATGGAACTTCAAGAGGGCGCCAACGATTGCAGCACGAAATTAATCATGTCTTCCCGTAAGTAATTTGGAATAGTTGTATCTCCCCCTTTATGGATGGTGGCCGGAGAACCTACCAGTGCAGATTTTTAGCCTTGCAATTCTTGGTCAATTTTTTTTGTTTATAGAATGAATGTGGTGCTCTAAGCAAAATGCAGATTACAAGTAAGATTCTTTCGACCTGAAGAAACTCTATGTGTTCATTGCATATTCCCAGATTGAAAAAAGAAATTGGATGATCGAGCTTTTACCATCTCCAATCAGTTAAACAATCTTTATTGGATCTTTGGTGCTTATGAAGTACTTTGTATAATTCTTTGAAAACAAACAATGCATTTCTAAAAAAAGATTTCTTAGCGTTGGGTATTTGCGATACGAGGTAATCTACTGTTAGGTTCCTTAGTTTAACAAGTTGCTGGTGTGGATATTTATAACAACATAGAGTTTTGAATTCAATGTTGGGCAGTTGAGGAAAATTAGAGTTTGTTTGGAGAGTCCATTCTGTTTGTAAAAACATTTAAGTGAGACAAACCTGTCAAGAGGTGTTCAATTAAGCATTATGTACAACATGAGCTACTAATAACAAGTGCTTCTTGGTGGTAGTGTTTCTTCCAGAAAGAGAGGTGGAGATGCATCTGGGTCCAATGATTGAGTTCATACCCAACTCATGACTCAAGTAGATGTCATGACAACAAAGAACACCATTTTTATTATTGCAGCTAAAACTAGACCTGATATTGGAGTTGGAGCACATTGATGGGTTAGTGCCTTATAATAATAAGTCTATACATCAATCCTATATTCCTATACGCAGCAATGAGCAATAAGGTTTTGAAATTTTAAGGTTCTAATATAACCCTTACAAAACCAGATGGTGACTTCTCAGTCTCAGTCCGCTGATTCCACTCATCGATGAATCCATGTTGATTGTGTGAACTTATTTTAATTGAACCCTCATATTCTATGTTAATGATTTTAATTAGGTTTTGTTAAGATTGTTTTGTACCTATGTCTTAAGTGCATTTATTTGGCACAAGTAATGCATTTGCCCGTGTTTTATATAACTTTTCTTATTCCTTGGAGGAAAGAATAACTAAAATATATAATGTCTCGATTCCTATTTACAGTCACTTAGCAAAAGCCAATATTGGATAGTGCCCAATATTAAAATTATGTGAACATTCAATTTTGTGATAGAAGACCGGTGACCAAAACTGTCTGTGACAGAGAACGAAGTGCAAGAGGCTGAACAGAAAAACCCGAAGTGGAAACCCCTGATGTTAATTGATTAATTAGCCATAGACTATTGGATTTTGGTTCACTAAACTGTCTGCGCTTTTTCTGTCATTTGCTATTGAGCCAAAGACTCACTATTTTTTGTCTTAAAATATGATTGAATAAAGCAATGGTTCACTAAACTGTGTGTGCTTCTTTGTTATGAAGAAGCAGTCAGTCCATTCAATTTTCGACGAGATTTTCAATTTGGGTCATTTGGAAACAGTATCTCTGTACTTTAGTACAGAAGTAAGGCCGCGTACATCTGACCCCCTTACCCCACCTTAGGTGGGAGCCTTTTCATGTTTATAAAATTGGTCACATTTTTTTGTGTTCCCTTCATAAAGTTAATTTTAATTTATTTTGTAATTTTGTAAATAACAAACTACGTATTCAATACTCCCTCTGGTTTTTAATAAACTTCACACTTTACTTTTTGGGACGGTCTAAAATAAACTTCACACTTCCTTATTTCCTTTTTTGGCAAAGAAATTTACATCAAAACAGTGCCAAACAGTGCCTCAACAGTGTACTATACAGTAAAGTCATATTCCTTTTCTTATTTTGTGTCAAGTCAAAGAGTGAAGTTTAATAAAAACTGGAGGGAGTATAATGTATTGATATTACTCATATATTCACTCAACCCGAACCGAAGAATTAATGTTCCTACAATGGCGTTGGGCATTACCACGAACGCGCAACGCGCGTTACTAAACTAGTAATGATAATAAATGTTGATGGCAAGCCAAATACTTCAACAATCAATATAGTGTATACGGAGAATTTCCAAAATGTGTTGTTTCAATACTTTGTGTAGTGTATTTATATTTGTACAACATATACTCGTATATGTTTGTTTCAAATGAAGAGTTATAGAACATATACACGCACTCTATACTGTGTACATGTATTTCAATTTCTTTTAAATAATAAAAATGTTAAATATGAACACATTATTAATTATCTCGTGCATCACAATTCACAAGGAATAGTACTACTATATACGATAGTATATACTTCCTCCGTTCTTAAATAAATGCAACGGTCAACATTTCACATTTGTCGAGACAAAACTTTGACCATTAATATAAATGATTTTGCATTAGTAAAAAATTAAAAAAATTAGATTATGAAAATTTACAATGAGAGAAGTTTAACAATATTTTTTTCATAAAATAATATTTTTACATTAATAAATATAATATAGTCAAAGTAGAACATGTGAATAGTGTAAAAGTCAAAGTGTTGCATTTATTTGAGAACGAAGGTAGTATATTGAAAGGGGGCCGTGTGTCCCCAACTGTTCCCGCCTAAACAAATATTGGGCCATATGTCAACGATTATGAAGCAATGGGCTACAACTTTTTATTGGGAGCTACATTAGAAATTAGTGGTAATTACCGGAATGGGTCACTTTTGCCCACCGTATATCATTTATGACTCGAGGCTGTTATTTTTTCATTTATGAACTTTCTTCTTTTCACTTTCAGTATTTATATTTCAAAAACAGGTTATCTAAACAGAACTGTGTTTAGATAGATCAGAATGGTCTCCAACTCTCCATCGAAAGCGGCTGATTCACCTTCGGAAAACGGTAGAATGAAAAAGCGCCCAAACTTCTCCAATCACCTTCATCCTCTCCGTCACCTGGAAGTTTCTGAAACCCGGATCTGGCACTTCTCTCTGGCCCCGATGACTCGTTTCCTCGTGAACGCCCGACCGACCTCGCAGAGAGTGGACCGTGTGCGCTTGTACGGGGAGACGTAGAAGTAGACCTTCTAGTTTGCATCTCCATCGGAATCAAGTCGTCGGATGCTCAACCCGGCCTGCTTCACCTGCTCGAGGTCCTGAGGAAGAGATGCTATCTTGTTGGTCCATCATTGGGGCTATGATGACGTTCAGGTTTGTCATCGGAAACTTTACAATTACAGTTTTGTTTAGTCATTTAATTTACATTTTTGAGCTTGTCTATTTTGCTGCGAATTGAAGGTTATCATTGATATTAAGTGAGATTGGTCTTAGCTTGCTTATATGTATGTGATTGATGGTATCTTTAATGTTTTTGAGTTCTCTGTTTTTAATGTTTATAGATTGAAAGATTGAGAGTAGAAAAGTTTGTGCTTCTTCATTAGTTTTTCATATATTGAGTGATTAATGTTCAAAGCTGAGGGTAACTCGTTGTTTGCTGTTGCTATACGATATGTGGGGTTAATATTTTTGTATCTCGTTATTTTTAGGCTTTTTAGCTGTCTCCGCTTCATATTCCTGAAAGCCAGTAAAAATGTTGAGAGTATAGCACACATCTAGGAGTGCCA